AATAATCCTCTCCGAGGTGGAGGCCATCTTGGATTATACAATGGTTCCTTCCGCCACAATTCGTATAAATGCAACCTTCGGGGGTTACCGGGCAACCTTTTCGAAGGGTCCCGCAGTGGCGTAGCTAGCGGGCCACCGTATACGAAAGACTTTGACCCCGTTTCGCCAACGCCTTTTGGCCTATGCGCTGGATAAAAATTGGATAGCCAAAGAGTGATGGGATTCGGACAGGACACTTATGGAACAATCGAATTGGAATTTGATGTGACATTTGATATGACTCGAATTTAATTTTGCACTTATAAGTATATTGAAATTTAATCTGAATTATATGAATATAGGATTCCTCGAAATTGAATTTTGCCGAACACAAATGTTGGATAAGTGTTCAAATGTCAGATTGCAAATTTTGCATGATGGATCGTGGAGAATTGGAAATTATTTTTCAAATTTATATACATAGGGAAGATCGAATGAAAAAGAGGGTGAAATGTTAAAATAAAGATAGTTTTTTTCGTGACGTGTCAAGAGGAATCCCTGATAGTAACGAGCAGTATTGTACCATAGATCGTCCGGAGTAGTTATCCAACTTTTACTGTACGTCACGTGCCATGAATTAGAGCTTATCAATCATCCAACTTCGAGACCACCATTCCTTAATGATTATTCGATCGATTCTAATTTCGATTTAATTTCATCATACGTCAGCAAGGTGACCATGTTTCTCAGTTTGAAATTTAGAGCTTAGAATTTGAAAATTCTAATTTCCCTTATAACTTACCAAGGCCTGAAAATGTATATGAGTATATCGTGTTTTTAAAAATTATAAAAGGAATATTCAATATAAAAAAATAATAAAATTAATCGAAAAATTCGGGACGTCTTAATTACTCAACGAGGCTGTCAATATATATCTAATGCCGTATGTCAAGATCGTGCATATCGTTTAGATAAAATATACGGACGAGGAATTTAATGATGGTTTTACGATGATTATTAAGGCGTTATAAAATGGCAGATAGTAATTACGGCTATTTGTCCGATATATTCTAAGATACGAGAAGATGGTCTCGAAGCCAGTAGCGTGTATAATTACACACACTCGTAGCTGGCGTCAAAACAAACGAGTCGATGAGGTTTTACCAATCGGTTAATTTAATAGAAAAGAAAGAAGACACGTTATACTCGCGCGCAGAGAGTGGGCGATCAATCTCGCGAGCCGGGGTCGAACGAGCCCCAACCACCACAGTCCACGTGACTGCTTTCAACCGCGTATATGTATTCGATCGATAAAGTAGGTTCGGACGTGGAAACGAAAAGTTGAAGAATAGTAAAAACGTGGACGTCCGAATTTTTTAACGACTCGCGAGAGAATTCGAGCACCAATCTATTCGATTTTCATATTCAACCACAATTTATTTCTCGTTTTCAAACACAGCTATTATAATTAATATAATTATTATTAATATGGACAGACTCTTATATAATATAATACAATACGGTTTAGACTTGTCGACATGATAGCGTATAATACTATTATCGTTTCCCATCGTCATCGTCGCCGTCATTACTCATTAATACATATCTCATTCGCGTGTATCGTAATGTATCGTTCGTCCGATTTGCAATCGTTATTATTTCGTAATCGTCGTTTACCCATCATCGCCATATCATCATCGTCGTCATCATGATCAACATCGTTCTCTGGCATACATTTTTTCTTTTCTTTTTCTCTTCTGCTCTCTCTCGCGCATTCTCTCTCTCTTTCTTTCTTTCGCTCTTTCGCTCTCTTTCGCTCTCTCTCGCTCTCTCTCTCTCTCGCTCTCTCATGTGTACATTTAGTTTACATAATGCGGGACACTACAAAATAATTATATACGTTTATCATAATTCGTAATACTATTATATTTTTATTATTTATATTTATATTCCATATATTTATATTTAAATATATATATATAATTTATATTTATATATATATAGATTCATTTATTTATATCATCTTTTCCACTTATACTTCGGTAAAGTGCCTACGTATTTTTCGGCCTGTAGGCACACACCTATCTAAAAATGAGTTTCTCTTTTTTTTCCTTTTTTTTTCTTCTTCTTTCTTCCGCATCGCGCATAACCGTTTCGAACGAATGCGTTGTACCCGGTCTTTTTTTTTTTTTTTTTTTTGTGTTGGGCGTGTACTGCTGCGTATATGTGTGCACGTGCGTCCGTGCGCGGCTGTTCGTGTGTATGTGTGTAATATGTTCCTGTATAATATAACATGTACATGAATGTTCTACCGGCTCGGTCGGAGCAATGTGTCCACGTAACACTGATGGCTCGAGTGTGCAGCCGATGCAGCGAGAAAAAATGATATACATAATTCCGATTCCACGGGGCATCTTAAGCTCTATTCACAAAATCGCATTGGTATCGATTATTTGCGTTTTTTATTACGAATCTGTAAATATAGATATCTATACGTATCGATATCTATAAATACAGAAAATGGTTATATATATATAGACGTCTACAGGTGTGAAATATCTACAACAGTCGTGTGTGTTTATCCTTTCTTACATTTCATTGAAAATAAAGCATAAGAACGCTACACACTGGAGCGATCACAAGTACATCTGGGGGACGACTACGTGGCGGCTCTTAATAATATTGTCATCCTTTTACTCTATTTTCCTTCGTCACGGTTACAGACAATCAGATCGTCGAACGTGGTCGAATCGTCCGTATACCGGGACGATTGCGTCGTATATCGTTACAGTACCGTATCAATAAATAGTAATTAATTAGTTTCTCTGCTATCATTAACTTTGTAATCATTTTTTTTTTTTAGTCTATTTAACAGGTACCTACTTTACCTACGCGGTATCGTATACAGTGGTCGCGGCTCGCGATTCAATGCCACGACGTCAGACGTCGCCTTTCACATTGCCCCGCCGATAAAAAAAACTTCATCGATGCGTTCATCTTTTCGCTTCATTCGCATGGAATTATTTACAATGTCGTGTGTAACAAGCCTGGCCCATGACACAGGACTTATTTCGCCGCATTTCAAAGAAAATCGGAGCACCCTCGATAAGTACTATTGTTCCTTTGACAATGAATTTCTAAAAGTAAAAATCTTGAATCGATTCTCTAAACGATCTCGAGGTTAGGAAATTATTTCATGATCAAGTGAATCTCACGTCACCATTCTCTCGTTTTAAATTCTGTTATCGTGAAAAATAATATTTTTATCGTGTATTTATTGGATTTATCAGTCTTCGTAGTACGGAATTATTATCAATGAAACCGCAAATTTTAGAAAATTTTTTTTATCGAATTGGAAAAATGTTCGTCTGAAACAATGACGATATTTTAATTTAATCGAGGAAAGTTGTATATGTGCATCGATTAACTGTATTTACAAATGTATCGAATGTACAGTAGTAAAGGAGTATTTTAAATTTTTTCATTACAGCAATAATGACATGTGAAAACATATGTTCTTACTACGCGTTTTTCGATTTATTTTCCGAAAAGAAAATTAACAAAGAAATACCGATTGATACTACGCAGTCAAATAAAATTTTAGAGATAATATCGTGTTCTTATCGAGTGTAGCGAATTTTCTTCTATTTTATCGATATGAAATCCAAAGTTTTTAATTGTGCTTTTTTTTTTTTTTTTGGCTCAGTGCTATTTTTATATATTTGTATAAAAGACGGTTAATTGAATTATACGGCATGATGAACGTTTCTTAAATTACAGCACTCGAAATGATGGATTTTGTTTTGACTGAAATACGAGAGGCAATGGACTACCGTTCCCCTTTTTCTTTACGTATTTTGATAGATATACAATGCCTAGAAAGATATACGAAATTAGCAACCTGTCTGGAGAATGACAAGTTGTCAGGAACTCTTCGGTGCATAGGCGTGTGAGGACGTGGCTTTATAATTAATCGCCAATTATCAGACATCTTTTCTCTCTACTTAAGAATAATCTGGACGTGGTAAGCATGATTCAAAATATCTATAATAAATGCATCAAATAATATTTTATTATTATAAACACATTCAGTTCATTGGACGAGAAAAATTCATTATTATTATTATACACGCGATATATATAGTAAAAAATATTTATTGGACGATTATCGAAAAACTGAAGGTAATCCACCTTATATGCAACATGCTATCAATAAATACGTATTACACGATAAGATACCAAAAGCTGCTTATTTTTCATCAAGCATTTTAAGTTCTTTTATCCGATAAATGGTGCTTGCGAACTCCCCAAATAGACATTAACTATATATACACGATCGCAAACCCCACATTAATTACTTAATTGCGCATTGCCCATGGTACACAGAACAACGACCAAGCGTTTACTCGATCAGACTCGTTCATTTTCTATTTTCTTTTTTCCACGACCACCGCCCCCACACGCTGCAACCGACATGCCCGTTTCCTTAATTCTATTTAATTATCATCTTAAGACTTAGGCTTTAAACGTTAACCTTATCGATTAAGCGCTAGCTTAGTGACTCACTTCGTACGTACACACACTGTTGTTATTTTTTTCTCTCTTTCTTTACTCGTTTCCCACTTGTTCCTTAATCCTCTTCGCTTTAACTCTACATATACAATCACGGTATACACGCTTCTTTCCTCTCTTTCCTTTCATTTCTTTTATTTATTTATTTATTTTTTTCTTTTTTCGTTTAAATTACGTATATATCTGTTTAATTTTTACGCGACTATATAAGAGTAAAGATAAAATATATAATTTGCATTTTACACATTCCGATTAACTCTAGGAATTTTCCCTTTTTTCCCCTTATTCTCTTTTTTTCTTTGCCGCATTTATACATATATATTTTTACTCTATATATAAGTATTAGTTCGCTAGTCCGATAGATACAAAATTTTTTCACTTTAAGCTAAACTGGTTTTTCTTACGGCGATCGCTCGCGGTATATAATAAATTCATTGATTTATTGATAATTTCTTTTTTTTCTTTTTTTTTTTTTTTTTTTTTTTTGTTTCCCTCAGATTCCAAAATTGCATTTTGTCTAAACGACGGTTGATTAAATAAATAAATGGAACATTGAGAACCATATGGTTTTTATCACGTAAAGCAGCGTCGCATGATTATTGCACAATTCTGTCAATTTTTCCACGTGTCACGAACGATTGCTTGCGAGAGAAATACCGGTGATAAATTTACCAATAAATTTACCAAACAAATTTTTCTCATTTGTACGCGCCGAATGGGACCTTGAATAAACAAAGAATCGTAAAAAAAAGATACGTATTTCCGATCGATCGATTTAACTTTCTGCTATGAGCATATTGCAATTATGAATTGAGATACAACAATGTGCAAACGTGTTTTTGCCAATCAATTCCAAACGAGGATTAATGTTGCCAATCTAGCGGCCGCGAAAAGTTTCTGGAAAACGGTTTGTCATGTAAGCATTTATGCGTGAAATTTTGCCTCCACTTTGACCATTATGTCGTAACAGTTGATACTATGACGCAAAGGCAATAAATACTTCCTTTGTCTCGAAAGCCGCACCCTAAGTTTCAATGCCGGCCATTAGGCCTGACCTACATAGACGGTATCACTGATTAATGCAGTCTAAATTAACACATGTCTCACTTATCTACCGTAAAACGTGCAAAAAAATATCATCCGAATCGATGTAAGACTAATCGATTTATCGCGAACATTGCGATCAATATTACGAGAGAAGATACTTCAATTTTGGACAAGAAAGAAACAAAATATTTATTAATCATCGTGATATATGATCGAAAAAATAAATAAATAACCAAAAAAAAAAAAAAAAAAAAAATAGATCGAATGACAAAAACGGAATTAATCGAAATCGATCTCGATTAAACGGACAGACAGAGCTACTACCACCGGCGGAGAAACGACGAAACAAAAATATTACATATTAGTCGAGTATCGTGTGTTGTGTGAATATGCTGTTCGAGAATATTTACCAAAGAAAATATTAACCAGAAAAAGAAAGTGTTACTATACTTTTTCTTAAAATTCATTTCAATAACGATCGCGATAAGGAAAGTGCATATATTTTTATTAAGTAACTTTCGATGTAACTGGCGAGGCAAAAGATAACCTTGTCCTAACCTAAAACTTGTATCGCTTACCGACTCGACTTGCTGAACAATAAAATGAGAGAAAGAAAGAGAAGAAAGGAAACAATTCAAAGTAAGTAGATCAGAACGAAAATCGAAGATTCGTTATTTATCGCCGGTGTTCCTCTTTCCTTGAAACTTTCACGAAAACCCATACCGACAGCGACGCGAAGCCCCTCGACGGGCTATCGAGCTTAATTGACGCCAATTTGCCCGAGCAATTTAGAATCACGACCCCTGACCGTAAACGTACGGGGTTTCGGCGCTTCCCTCCGAAAAAAGAAAAAAAAAAAAAGAAGAGACAGCGAGCGATCGTCGACTATCTTCCGTTTTTCACAGTTCGTTGCTCCTCAAGGACAAAAAGTTATACATAAATAAATCTCTCGAGAAAGAAAGGCCGGCCGGTGCTCAATCGATGCGCGTGCGCGAGCTGGACCATTGTATTACGTATATCAGTTCCATATATCTTCCATTTATTTTTTTTTTTTTTTCCTTTTTTTCACGATCGTTTTTTCTTTGTTTTTTTTTTCCTCGTTAACGCGAGAACGGTCCAAAAGAAAGTTCGCGAGACATTATTCGTGTCCTACGGGAACATTCTTCGAATCCATGCTATCTACATGTAAACGAGGTTTGCGAGATCCCTAGATTATTTCCTCCTATGTACATCTATATTTTTCTTTTCCTCCTTTTCTTTTTTTATTTTTTTTTTTTCTTTTTTCTCTCATTCGCTGTGTTTAAATATCGTCTTTTCATCGTTTATACATTATTACGTATTTAATTAATCATTACGTATATCGTTAAATTGCGTGTATACAAGGTATAAACTAAATTAATGTCGAATCTAAGTTTTACAACACAGCACAAGAATTCGCCGCGGCAAAGTTCTCCGACGTGTATTCAGCCCGGTTGGACGACAGAACGATGTCATCGATCCTGTCATCGATTCTCGAATGAATTTGTCAACCAGGCCGATAGATGGTGCGTTTGGTCACTGCCTGGCACGCTTAACATGCGTTCGATGGATATCCATGAACAACAGAACCGCTGTGTAATTTGTCGAATATGCGAGCTACTAAGAAACGAAGCAGTGATTATAATTGACACGTATTCCAAACATATGACTAGTGATTGCATATTGAAAATGGAAACGAGGTTATTTTAATCAGATATATTTCACTTGGGATGATTTTAAGAAAACCATATTGATTTTAGATCTTTGTCCTATGAAGATACGAGTGAGTTTGATTTCAAGATGAAATGATAGTTTTGATAAAATAATGAGAACGGTATGGATTTTTAATTTTGTTTATTTTTTTAAATACTTTTTCTTCTTTCAGAATAAACTTTTTGAATTAAAGAAGAGCTAGAATAATGCCTTTTGTCGATGGCTCTACTCTCTAGAGAGCAAGTTAAGGTGCCAAGCAGTTTCATGCCGAAAGCATCCTATTCCAAAAATATGCTACGAATTACATCACTGGTAACTTGGCCTCGTATCTCACGGAGCAGCGGTAAAATTTCAATGATCACTCGCCCTCAAAGATTCCCCGAATTTTGATTTTATCGAGGATTTCTCTCGTCAAAGTAGATTTTTTTCTTTTTTTTCTCTCTCTTTCATTGTTCGAATATTTACAAAGGGAACGTGGTAAGTGAAGTTAAACGATACGAATTAGCGAAACAATTCTTTTAAATATTTTCACTTTATGGCGTCATCTGCATTGATGAAAAGTGTTTGCAAGAAAGTTTAAAATTTTCTGAATAATATCTTGTAATAAATCTTTTAAGTAATAAATCTTTTAAGTAAAATTGAGAATACTATCATATTAAATATAAAAAATAATACAAGATAAAATTGTGACAAAAAGAGGATCTTTTGACTATTGCGAAACACTTTCTTTCAAATAGTAGACCATACTTTTGGTTGCAAATGCACAATTATAATACACAGCGATTATATTAAAATATTACCCGTAATATTTTAGTTGACAAGAATAAATAAAAGTCCATTTTGACATGTTCTTCAAACAGCATTCGAAAGAAACAGTAATCGAAAGAACAAATTCCATGATTGTGAAAAAAAAAAAAAAAAGAGTATAGAATTTTTAAACTGACCTTGCGACGACACTGATGAAGAAATGTCAAGTAGATTCGATTCTGCTCCGTCGGAGGCCTCCCATACTCCTAAGAACAGCACTGTTTTTCATTCATTCGATCGGCACACTGTCCGAAGAAGAAACGGATTTCCTCCCTATTGGCGCGTATTGACAGATCACCAAAAAATCACTTTGAATTTTAACCGATTGCATAAAGCACACACACTGAAATTTCACTGGTGAAATCCACGATTAATAATCGAAATCGCAATTTAATTTTTCATCCCTCGTCCCTCTCTCCAATTAATTTCTCCACGTTAAGTGTGCAGCCGTTCGTTCCATCGAGATTTCATCAATTTTCCTCTTCCTTGGCGAAAAACATTTTCTTTCCCTCTTCTTTCTTTTGAATCCTCCCGGCACTGGAGAAACACACATTCGAAGATCACACTTGGCACGTTCGCGATTTAATTAAATAACCCTCGCTCTGAGCCACCGCGGTTATCATAGAGAAAAAAACCTATCTAAACGATCCTCTATAGAACACTAAACCGTTCATCATCTACTCGCTATATAACTAGAGACACGATTTTTTGGACGACCGTCCTTTTTCCGCTAGATTTTCCATTTTTTTTCCTTTTCTTATATTTCCGATTACGATCTAACCGCACTACGGACTCTACGCGTGTACAACGTGTAAGAGAATAAATAATAAAACGCTTTTACCTAAAGGATAATTTTTTCCACGCGATACAACGTTTTCTCCATAATATTATATTCACTTCGCATACACGCTCACGTCACATTCACGCGTAAAATTCCCACTTTTCTTTATATATATATTTGTATATATATTTATATATTTATATGTATATATACTTTATATACTTTATATATATATATCACTTTACACGCTTTCAAAGTACTCATCCATACACTACTATACAATTACAAGAATCCAATTACAATCTCGCTATATATAACATTCATTCGCGTTTTTTAAAGTACGTATAATGTTTGTTTCTCGCACTCGCCCTCGCATTCTCTCCATTCCTTTTTCTCCATTCGCGCCCTTCCATACATTCTCTCTCTCTCTCTCTCTCTCTCTCTGCCAAATTATCTCTATTATAATTATAGGCTTTAGTACAATTACATTCGATTAAATGTAACAGAGGTTAACGCGGTTCTGATTAGCATGTGATCCAGTTTTCCTCCTATCCGATCCATTCCCTTTTCTTTTCTTCATTCCGTGATTATTAGAAGATCTCGCACGTCCCTATAAATCTTCATCCGACTCTTTCGTGTGTTCGGTTACCTTTCTCTCTCTCTCTCTCTCTCTCTCTCTCTCTTTCCTTCTATTCACTCCACGTATACATCCTTCCTCGTTTCGTCTCGCGCGCGCAATCTCGCTCCTTTATCCCTTTGTCATCGTCCTGTTCACGTCTTCACTTCCATCCACACTGTCGGTTCGCGGTAATTTCTCTTCTCTCGACTCTCTCTCTCTCTCTCTCTCTCTATCTTTATCCCTTTAACGACGTTGTCCTCTTCCATTTTTGGTACGAGCAACTTGATTAACACGACAGAAAATAAGCGTCATTGCTGTATGAGTGGGGAGGGGCGAGTAGGTGTGTACGTATATGTGTATGGCTGGGCGTGTATGTGTGTGTGTGTGTGTGTGGGCGATTTTTCGATTCTTCTTTCTTTTTTTCCTTCTTTCTTTTTTTTCCTTTTCCCTTTCTTTTCGAAGGTGTACGTGTGTATATGCATGTGTATGTGTGTACGGGGGAGGAGGTAGTGCTGGAAACAAGGTATTAACGACCCTGAGAGAGATGAGACCTCTTTGGAAGTTCCACTCCTCGGGGATCTCTCAACCCTGCGGCGACGTCTGCGGCGAGATCTCGGTGTCCCCGTCGCCCGAGCCAGGTGTACCCTTCGACTTGTTCTCCTTCTTCCATTTCATCCGTCTGTTTTGAAACCAGATTTTGATTTGCCGCTCGGTAAGGCAGAGCGCGTGCGCGATCTCGATGCGACGCCGCCTGGTCAGGTATCGGTTGTAGTGGAACTCCTTCTCGAGCTCGAGGGTTTGGTATCGGGTGTACGTTTGCCGGCCTCGTTTCCTCTCTGGAACACAATGCGCGAGAGAATCACGGATTCCCTCGTTAGTCTCGTGTTTCTTCGTTAATTTTTTGTAATATAATATATTTATATATTATAGGCTGGTTCAGAAATAATTATTTGATATTTTCGCGAATCCCTGACAAATAAATAATTACTGTAGCTTGAAAAGGATATAATATAATAATAATAATCATTTGCATGTACTTGTGAATTATCCTATATGTATATATTTAATAATATAATAATATAATAAAGTAATAAAGAGTAAATGGAAATTTCAGTTTCATCAAGGAAGAGGTTGGATCAGTAATAATCATTTGCGTGTATTTGTGAATTATTCTACATGTCACAATAAAGTAATAAAGAGTAAATGGAAATTTCTTTCACCAAGGAAGAGGTTGGATGTGGATCAACTCGTGTCCTTGATCGTAGAATCGAATATGTAACCGTGACTTTTCTCTTTTTTTTTTTTTTTTTTTTTTTCCCCATTCCTTTCGACGAAACCTAGGTAATATTTCACAGAGCATATCCGTGGAAACGGATTACCCTTGAAGCCGTACTTTGATTTCAAAGCTACGTATACGCGGTTACAGTGTAAAGCATTATAAGAGCGCGTTCTAATTTCGATCTTGTTCCGAGAAACTCGGGTTCTCGTTAAAATGCAAGTGGACTAATAAGATGTACCGGTGTCTCGTTGCTCTCTTTGGATTTTTTTTATCATACGAGCTACAGATTGATATATATTCAACGAATAAGGTCTAGAAATACGTTGGTTCACGGTTACCCAACCTAACTTAAACCTAATCCAATCTGTGAATTTTTAGGAGATGTAGATGAAAATACAAATTGGCAAAATTCTTGTTCTCTTTCTTGAATGTTGAAAGCGAAAATGAAAAAGAACGTGGAAAGAACGATAAAACTAGAAAAATTTTTAATTTTTATTCCTTTCAATTCGAAACAGTTATGGCGAAGAGTACGAAGAGTGGACACCACAGGGACGCTTCGTTAATCTCCCGTATACTCGGCAGAGAGCGCTCGAGGCAGCAATCCGAGATATTTAATGAACGCCGTGCAACCTGCTTCGGCACGCGGGAAACTTTTTACAGTGCCCGAAACAAAAATCCTTGTCCAACGAAGAAAAAGCTTCTCGACCGCCTGTTCGTAGGCGCAGTTCCGCGTATGATAGATACCTTACAGATATCCGTGACATGATCTGCGCTCGGTGTGGCGGTACACGAATCCCGAACAAGAATATTAATTGTACTTGCCAAGGGAGCGAGGGAAGAAGCGCTCCACGCAAAGAGAGAGAGAGAGAAAGAAAGACGACCAACTGGACTCTCGACACGGACCCACGTGATCGAGCGTGTGTGCGCGCGCACATACACTATCTCGCGAGACGTAATCTCAAAGAGTTAGGTTAGCTGTTGCCACACGAGTGCAAGAGGGCAAAACGAGAATATTTCAGAGTGGTGGTGTACGAGGGAGGGAAAAAAGGAGGAGGAGAGGGATGAGGGGCAGCGAGAAGGAGCAGGAGGAGGTGGAGAAGGGGGAGGAGTAGAAGAAGAAGAAGAAAACTCCTTGGTGAGCATTCGAGGCAAACGCCGCCCGTCGCGCTGTCGGCCGATGAAGACGGATGGCGACTCTCTCTCCTCCGCAACGAGAGAGAACGAGGATTCGAGGGTTCTCCGTTGCCCGGCCGGACGAACAGGAGAAGGAGAGAGAAGCTATGGGAACATGCCATCTTCCTCTTCCTTCGTCCCTTCGGGCTACGCTCTCAAATTAACAACATACCAATCTCTAACGTTTTCTTATAACTTTTAATCTAGCTTCTCTCCTGATTCTCCCGCCTGATGGCGTTACTATCGCTTCGCATCCTAGATAACGCTCTCAGCTTTTTACCACGATCCTCTGTGTAAACTGGGCGCTTTTAAAAACCCATTAAAATTGAAATTTCTAATATTATCCGTTTCTTTGATGTCCGATTCACAAAGACGAGCACAATCAAGACGAAAATACGCCGTCCCATGTTTCAAAACCGCAAAATTGGGTAGCCAATCAAAAGATGACCATAGGGATAAACATAGATCACGGGTTTCATCAAAGAAGCTGATGAGTCGCGCGCGAACGCGCCTCCATTTAGAAGCCTGGGCTTATTAATGTTCATTCGTCAGCCGGTTAATGAAGGTGCCTCCTTAAAGACGGAGGTCTTTGCATGGTCGTCTAACCCAGAAGATCATCAAAGCATTCACGGAATAATGAAACGGTGTTAAGTCACGCTCGAGCTGGCCCGTGCCGATTAGTATGTGCCTCTTTATCGATAATACTCTCGTTGCCTAATTGCGACTATATCCTGACCACTGGAAAACGATAAATAACAAGTGCCCGTCACTTTGGATCGATGAAAGACGATTTTCTCCTACGATCACACACTTCAAAAGTAAATGACCGAGTTCAAGTGCCATTAGAGGATCGTTGAACTTGTCAATGGTCGTTTGTCATTAGTGTCAATGAAGATTCAGACTTCAAAAATATTGCACAAGTGCAGTGGTAAGAAAAATTTAAAATAAAATTTACAGAGTTTTGCAACGCCTACAACGATCATAAGTGCAAGAATAAATTTTACTAGTTTACTATCCTTGAATTTATCAAGGGTCGTTTGTCATTGATGCCAATTAAACTTCGAGCTCAATATAACCTTAGTGTTAACAAAAATTCAAAACAGGATTTGTAAACTTTTTATTAGAATCAATTATGTCTTGTCTATAAAAATATATATAAATATATTGCAGTATCATGCAAGTCAATGCCACAGGCGCTAGGAACGAACACTTGCGTTAGCTTGACCACGAATAACTATTATCCTAATAACAAGGTAGCGCAAGGATATTGCCAATATCCTCTCGAGTTACGTATGCAGCTGTCTGGTTGGAAGTCAATCGATTCCAGCGGCGAAGACTCGAATCTTGATTAGTCTCGTCCGGCCAGTGAATTAGACTTTTTCTTCCTGGCCAAGCATGTAAGTTTAATTAAAATATTCGTTCGATACTTCGTCCGATGTGAACGGAAATTTTAATCGACGTGTGTAAATTATCGAAAACAATTCTATTTCCAATTTGAATAAATATGAAAAATAATATGGAGTAATAATCAAATACAACAGATATTGCGCGCGCATCACATGCTGACAAGCTATGACCAATCATAGAAATAACCTAACCTCTGATTTTAGCGAACAGATGAACAACAATAGAATAAAAATTTACGATCGTATTAAATATTCAATTAATTAATATTTCTTTTCTTTTCAAAGAAATATGTCAAGCGTAGAAAGCAATAATTATCGGGAAAAAATCTATTCTCATCTCGAAGAGATAAAAGAAATATCATGGAATAGGTATTCCAAGCTATTCACGTGCTAGAATTAATGAAGTAACAATGCGCGCGCATCGTGGTCACGTGACAAACTATACGAACGATAGAAACGACTTTAACCTCTGATCCTATCGAAAGAAATAGAAAACAGAATTCACAAGGATCACGATCATTCGTGATTCCATTCGTTCACAAAATTGTAAACATTTAAATCGATATTTCTCCCTTCTTTTCAAAGGAAGATATCAAGCGATATCGAATGCTTGAATCCCGAGTCGCGCAAACCGAGTCCTTGGAACGGTGTGAAAGCGTTATCTGGGCGCAAGATCAAATTAATCACCGGTATACATTCTTGCCGGTGAAGAAAAGAATTAAACGGCATTTTCATTGTGCTTGAACTCGTCGTGGGAAACACGGCTCGCATAGAATGTGCAAGATTTTCTTCATCGTGAAGAGGAAACACTGCAACTGGGACGACAGTATATATATATACATATACATACATATATACAAAGTCTCGTAAGTTTCAACACCGAATCGGTGTCCTTGAACGAAGAGAGTTTTTGTTCGATCATGCAGAATGGATCACGCGAACGAAGTACGAACGGGTGTAAGGTGTACGTTGAAGAGGTCGATAACAAGAAAAGCTGGCCAGAATCGTCGGTTTATGCTGAACCGGCGTTCTGATGCCGGCGTAGCCGTTGCTCTCTCGCGGACGAAGGTGACTTTAAACGCGGGGCAATAAATTAACGGCGTTGGGTTACGCAAGGATCAAATGTCCCCTGGAGTATGCTCGAGAGATTTATGGGTCTGCCTTCACTGGCGCAGCATGAAGGAACGGAACGGAACAGAACAGAACGTACACAACCGTACGGCTTATTATAGGCTAGTTGCTCCGCTTCTTCGTTTCTCTCTCTCTCTCCCTCTCTCTCTCTCTCTCTCTCTCTCTCCCTCTCACTCTCCGTTTCTCCTTCTCTGTCTCTCTTCTCTCCGGGACCGACTGGTCTTTCAGACCCGCCGCAGGATACATGCAGGACTTTTCAGATGAACAGCTAGCCGGATGTTGTAACCCGCTAATAAGGCGCGGCCACCACTCGCTGCCCAATTAAGCTAAGCTTTACGTGGCCACCTTAAGGCCAGGCCTTGAAACGCTCTTCGATTAGATACCCTAGATATCCCATTAATTTTATCGCTCGCCCTCTCATGGCCTCCCTATACACCGAGCCTCGACTCGCTATACACGAGCCTCCTCCTTGGATTATATGACCGGTCGACGTCGCTGACAGAGGTTCAGATTAATTGCGTGGAATCCGGTGAACCACCTTGGAAAACCTCCACCAGAACGGGTATGTGTTTCGAAGATCCAACTGTTTTCGTTCGACTAGTTCTTCGTTCATGTATATATATGATAATTGATGATTATCGAACTTTTAGTAGTTTCGCGATACATTTTTATTTATCAACGAAAATGACTATAGATAAGAAATGAATACAGAAATGAATATATAGAATAGAATATAGATAAGAATTAACCGAAAGTTAGAATTTTATGAATTGAGATATCAATGGCGGAAAAATGTGATTCCAAATTTTTGAATAGTAGTGCATGCACATGGAAAACGGTCTCTTTA